AGTGATTCTCAACCAGGGTGCCACAAGATTCTTTTATGGATGAAGTAGGGTGCTGCATAGTATTAGCACTGTTAGATGGGTAAGCTCCTAGATGTTTTTGGTGCCCAGAACCATATAATATTTAGGCTGCATGCTCAGGAAAATTAAATGGGCTTAATATTATTATTATTATTATTTCTTTTGTTCTATTGAAGGATGTCAGGCGATGTGTATTGTGCTACATCTAAAAGAGAGTCTGATTCTAGTATATTTTATTTGGTTTACAAGGGTTTAATTTTTTCCTATTAGTTGTGAAGAATTAAGTTTCCTGAAACAAAGCTTGACTTAATCTCATCATGTTGTCTTTCACTTTTGCAGCTGTTGCTAGTTTTAAAGTCCTGTGTGTCTGCTTGCCTTGCAACAGTGGGGTTTTTTTCGTTGGCAACTCTGCATAAATACTCGTTTTTATCAACCATAATTCAAAAACAATTCACTTGACTGAAACTTCAGGATGTGTGGGTACTTAAATTGGGTGACCGCATAATTCTGTTGTGCCCTTTGCTTCTCTATCCCATCTTCTGTCTGTTGTTAGCTTGCTTATTTTGTTATGTTTCAGTGCAGAAACTATACCATTCAGTGCAGGACCATACCATTTAGCAAGTTTGTTTTATAAAGTGTCAAGTATGCTTTTAGCTGCTGTCAAATAAATAGGGTAAAGGGCTTAACTGTCACTTCATAAACTTGCAGTTTTTCCCAGTAGAAACTGCATTTGGCCAAAGTAGTCAATTTGATCAGATTTCTTTTTAAATAAAACAGTCCACATGCAAAAAAGTTTTGTTGTTGAATATTGTCTTAGCTTTTATGATGTAATAAAAGAGCTTAAGCTATATTTTTTCTGTTGAAAACAGTAAAGCCCGATGGATTGACAAGAGTATGTCCAGTCATGTGTGCATGCTTTAAATCAGACTTCAGATTGACATAATTTAAGACTAGACTATCCAGCTCCACTCCTGTTACATGCAGAAGCTTCCTGATGTCAGAGTAATTTTTAAATCCTTGATTTAAATTAATTTATAAAAATTATTTAAATTAGTTTCAAAAAGCCACAGCTAATCTGAAAAATATATGCTGTCGCAACTTTAAATAATAAACAACAGTTTTTTCTTTCTCACCGCTGGTAGGTTATGTCATCTGAATTTTACTAAACTACTATTGTCTAAAAACAGTACAAAAATAGTCATTCTGCTCTTTTTCCTTCCAAATCCAGAATGGCACAAAATATTTGTAACTATGTCACAAATTGCTTCTTTTTTTAGCACAAGTAAATTGTTTCGGATTTCAGTACCTTGCCATAAACAAAACTACTGACATTTATTTTGACATCAGTTCTGAAACCAATCGATAGATATTATATAATAAAAGTAAGTTTTATTATTTAGATTAGTTGGTGTTGCTTTCAGAATTAAAATGCTTGATTATACTTGGTTTGTGCCAGCCAAAATCTTTTTCACATAATTATGAAATATGAAGCATCTGTCTGGGACATAGACAAAAGGGACTGAATCTGGGATCTTTGGATATGGAACCCTGTATCCAGTATTGCAGATGAAGGACCAGTGTTTATTGGCTCGAAGACACTACAGGTCCTTACTTATTGGATCCTCAAGTGAAGAGTAGAGGTGAATATATGGTAAGTGTGGCTTACACGCTTTGTTTCTGTCAAGGGAACCACTTCTTAAGCCTGCTGCAGCTCATCCTCCCAGTGGCCACATATTGGACTATGACTCCCGTGAGTAGGTTGAGTTGTCATAGGTTATATTTTCATTCATCTTTTCACAAGATTCCATCGCTGAACTGTTGTTAGATTTACTAGTAGAATACTGAAAAACCTGCCTATTGAAATGGCCCCATACTTTTGTTTATTTATTTATTAGATTTCTATCCTGTCCTATCCAAAGAACTTGGAGCAGCTTAGAGTAAACAAACAGTTCCAGACAGGATTCGTCAAACAGCGCCCCAAAACCGGGGAGCTCTCAGTCTCCCTTCCTCCAACCACTATCTCCCTGGCTGCATCTGCATGCATCTGCACTACTTTCAGCCACACCTCTCAACAACTTATTCATAGAAACCTGTCTTCAGCATAAACCTCTTGTACCTGTTTTGGAACATTTGTTGATTTTTCTGAGTGAAAACTTGCACATGTAAACATTAATTGCAAATACCAAATAGTAACAGAGAGTTGAAGCCTGCTTATAATGATTTTTTAAAACAATTTTTTGCCATTATGTAGCTGCAGTTCAGTAAATGTTATGTTCAATTGCTAAAGCTGTTGAAGATTAAATTTGTTATGTAGAAACAAAACATATTACTGTTAGCTTTAGTATTTGGAGCAGTTCTTTAGGCAGCCTTTTCAAAGTAAAATATGTTAGTTTCTGCTAAATGGGAGTTACTTTTTGTGGTACTTGTCACAGACATTTGTTGTATTTCAGAGTAATCTTGATTAAATGTTTATAGAACTACTGTAATCTATGAAAATTCTCAGCTTTAATATTGCACGAGAATGCACAAGTATCCTTTTGTTTGGAAGCTGTTGAAGTGATTGTTTGTAACAGGGGTGGGCAATTATTTCAGCTGGAGCGGTGCTTAATGAGTTTTGGTGAGGTGTCAAGAGCCACAAGGGTAGCCCTGCCCCTTGACAGGTGCCCCACCCTTTGTTGCCATTTTGGAACTAGAAGTCCTGCCCCTAACCTTTGCCACTGGAAGTCCCTCCCCTTGTCCCAGAAGTACTCCTTTTGGGAGCAGGGTTGCCATCTTGAAACTGGAAAAAATACCCCAAATCTTATACTAAAGAAATCAAACATCTACTATAACTTATTTTTCTTAAATTAAAATATTTTTCTCCTGATTTATGTGTGTTTGCATTGTGTATCTAGAAGCAGTTGCATAGTAACTTAAAATACATTCTTACTTATGTATATTGTGTCTCACCCACTGCTTTGTGGTTCTGAGCAGTGCCACCCTTTGCTGTTCTGCTCCCTGCACCTGTGCCTAGGCCCCAATGATCCCCATGCCCTTCTTGGGAAGCCCTCAGCTGGGGCTCAGGGACTGGGCTACTTAATGCCCTTCCCTTACAAGGCAGCCTTCCCCTGGACAGACTATTCTAGAGGGCCTCTAAGCCTAGCTCTGGTGCCTACCTGGAGTGCTCCCCCACCCCCAAATCTTTCTATCTCTCCCATGCTGCTGCTGCCCTCCCGCCCAGTGGTTTCTGGGACCAGGAGCTCCCCCCAGGCTGGGGCCACATGTCCCAGCACTGGTGCGGGCATATGGCAGGGATGCAGTGTGGCAGTTGCCCCTGCAGCCACAGCTCCCACCAGCAGGTCTTGTCCCTTCCCATGTGGCCAGCTGGACACGCAGGTTGTGTGATTGGTATAGGGTTTGTGGGGGGCTGATGCTTGTGGTGGTGGATGGGTCATACTCGACCTGGGGGGAGGTGGGTAGCGAAGTCCCCCAGGGCTCGGTCCTGGGGCCTGCGCTGTTCAATTTCTTCATCAGCGATCTGGATGATGGGGTGGAAAGTAACCTGTTTAAATTCGCTGATGACACCAAAATTTGGGGGGAGGTGAGCACGCTAGCAGGGAG